TTCAAGCCAGTTTATTCATCTTTGAAAATACCCCTTGAAAGCAGTACCTGTTAGTAGTCCAGCTACCAACTTGAGCTGGGTATTTTTTTCTGCATGAGGATTTGAAGATTCCTCTAGTTGTTATCTTGCTTTCAACTACAAAATCTCATTATTTCTTTCACTAATTTTATCCACATAGATGCACCTTTCTTCAGAAATAATTTCATGACATGTGTTACTTCATATCAATTACCTGAGAAAAATGTTGTTCTCCTTATGATTTGTCATTGAATGAAATATTCAAGTTGAATTTCCAATGACGCTGGCAGATTCAAAAACTACCCCACGAAGATAAGCAATTATATAGATTGCGCAATGGTACAACATATGGGGGTTATTCAAAACAGCGTTTTCCAGAAAAACTTGATAACTTTAAAACCATTCACAATACTACTTCTACTCCTTTTGACCCATGACTTATGGGACAACCTGTATATGTGACTAGGTCAGTAAAGAATAATTGGCAATGTTCCAATGTCTTCGATGTTTGGGCCCAACAACTTCGAGGACTGTTTTGGAAAGAAATTGCGCAAGCAGCTTCCAGGTGAAATAACTTATGGCTGCTTTCGTGATACTGTCTTCAGTTGCTTATGCCAAAATGAACTGACAGATAGGAATGTGGGAATTCATGCACATTCGATTTCATCTAGATATGCAATATTTGTTGAGATCCTGCATCGTTCCATAGTCGAGGTGGGCTAATTGCCTATCCGAATATCCTGGATTCCTTACGACTTCATCCATTCGAGGAATGTGAATAATAAACCCGAATTCATCACTCGAAATGTTATTAAGCGCAACATTCTGTTGTAAGCTAGACATGAGGATGGATAAATGTCAGGGAGAACGGGCCCACAATATGAGGTTTCTACCCTCTTGATAATATAGCTCGTCTTGAAGAGAATATCATATCTAAATGCTGACGACCTCGGGGGTAAGAGGATTTGCGAAGATGGTTAGTTCTGTCGACCGATCCTGTGTCCACGCCATTTGGCCAAGCCGAACGCACGCTTTTTACTGCCGCCTAAGGCTCTATCCTTTACACCCGGAGATATGATTTTTTTACGATAACTGGGAACGTTCAATCGCCGAGAGGGACGTATTACTATCACGGAATCTCTCAGGCAAGTCAGGCGGACATATTCCATTTGAACCGTTTTTTGATTCTGAAGGAGGAATCTCCCTTCGGATTGTTATTTGGTCAAAACTGTTGAGTGATTACCTCTCATGGTGCTTAGCTTCGGGTGTCCCTTATCAGCGGTTCATTTGTTTGATGGTTCACTTATATAATTTTAATTGCATGTATAGCCTGACTATACCACAGGGCTGAAATTCTATTTCAAATTTCATACAGGGTGTATCTAAATAACACCGAGAAAATTCAAGGGGTGATTCCTTGTGATATTTGAGGAACATATAAACATTTAATGATGAAACAGTTGTACTAACTTGCTCCGTTTTCGAGATACAGGGTATCAATATTTCCAAGAAAAATCTTGTTTCTATTCATTTCCCAATTGTCTTTTTATCAATTCCAATGAAACGTTGTGGTTTCGTTAATAGTAAAATGGAGCATCTTCTAGTGCAATTAGATTCGAAATAATATTCCCAGTGGCATCACAGTGGGTAAATTTATCGAAATTCATGGTGAATGTCATTGTACACCACCGGTTTTTCTGAGTTTCATATTTTCATTAGATTGAATTATTGAACTAACAACTATTTTATCCTTTATGTGATTTTTGTATCTAGGTTAGTATTTGAGGAAACAATAAAAATTCGATTCAACTCCAAATTTTAATGAAGGTGTTTTCAAGACTTCCATTGAGATGACTCAATAACCCTAAATACTGCATTTTGGCACCATCAAAGCTTATACAGAGGGGGGGGGGGTGTGAATAAAAACAATCAATACTTCCAACTCCAACATCCTGTACCTCAAAAACGGAGCAAGTTAGAACACATGTTCATATGAACTTTATTTGCCATGTCACAAGGAAACACCCCTTGAATTTTTTGGATGTTATTTAGATACACCATGTATACTACCTCGTTTAACCAAGATATACTGCTCAAATGTTCTGAGCTAATGATGAAATTATTATTTGGCAGACTATTCCACTCATTTCGAGATATACGTTTTGATTGGTTGAAATATCTGTGTTGATAATGATGTAATGATATTTGGCTTCCTCATTGGTAGTTCAATCAATAATGAAACACTATGACTCACCAGTAGCAGGCTGTCATGAATGTCATAATATTTTATAGCTCGGTGACTATATCGTACTGAGGTCTCAGTTGGGAAAATGAAAATTTTTATTTGGCCTATTTAAAATCTGAAAAAAATCACATAGACCAATTCTATGTCGGAATGAACGAATCTGTGGTGAAAATCAGGAAATTTCGGAAGATGGAGACGTAGTAGCCTACCGGAGTGCAAATATTGGCAATAAAAGCGGAAAGCTGACTTTGAGCGCCGATATCTCGAAAACTCTATGTCCTATCGGGCTGATCGTGGTCTCATTCGATTCGGCGTGTTATTTTCTACTTGTTAGAAGATGATTCGCTTGAATCTTCGCCGTTCTCTGGCACTTTCGGCCGTCCGAAGATAGCTCGGTGACTATATCGTACTGAAGTCTCAGGTGGGAAAATAAAAATTTTTATTTGGCCTATTGAAAATCTGAAAAAAGCCACATAGATTAATTCGATGTCGAAATTAACGAATCTGTGGTGAAAATCAGGAAATTTCGGTAAATGGAGACGTAGTAGCCTACCGGAGTGCACCTATTGGCAATAAAAGCGGAAAGCTAACTTTGAGCGCCGATATCTCAAAAACTATTTGTTCTATCGGGCTGTCCATGGTCTCATTCGATTCAGCGTGTCATTTTCTACTGGAAAAGCAATGAGTCGCGTGAATTTCCGCCGTTTCCTGGCACTTTCGGCCGTCCGAAGATAGCTCGGTGACTATATCGTATGATCGTACTGAAGTCTCAGGTGGGAAAATGAAAATTTTCAATTGGCCTATTAAAAATCTGAAAAAACTCACATAGACTATGTCGATGTCGAAATGAACGAATCTGTGGTGGAAATTCAGAAATTTGGAGAAATAGAGACGTAGTAGCCTACCGGATTGCACCTATTGGCAATAAAAGCGGAAAGCTAACTTTGAGCGCCGATATGTCAAAAACTATCTGTCCTATCGGGCTGATCGTGGTCTCATTCGATTCAGCGTGTCATTTTCTACTGGAAAAGCGATGATTCGCGTGAATTCTCGCCGTATTGAACAAAGTGGTGATAGGGTCCAACTATTAATTTCTATCGAAGAATTCTAGACCAATTTTGTATGATTGTCATTTCAAAAGAAAAACTTTTGATATCAACATGAACCCGTGAGTGAACCACTAACCTCCTTATCATAACATACTTTTTACCGATCACAATGTGATCATGACCGTTAGTTGCACAATGCAACAACCGCAAAGGAAAATAAGACGTAAAATTGCCGTTTCATTCATGAAATAACGAGTGAAATAATCATAACAAATACAATTCGTTTCGATAATAACATAATTGATTTATTGAAATCGAATTGATTTTTATTTCAATTATCACCAATACTTTTGTTGTATGCCATACCAATCATCAATTAATATAAGACTTTGCTTGGCCTTCAGATTTTGTTGAAACGAATTCATGTTCTTAAATATTGGAAAAGGCTGTCGGCATTGTATTATGACGTTCGCTAATGATTCGGAATATCCCTTCGGAAGAATTTATGAAAACTGATAACGGATAAAGGAAATTCGAGCCTATATTATATTAGAAATCCAAATCCCCGCTTTGAAATGAACTTCTTTCAACTGCAGATCGTTGTTCATTCTTGTACAAGATATGGATGTTTAATTAGTAATTGAAAAAACGCGATCACTGCATTTGTGACTTGGAATATGAAGATTCAGTCACAGTTATTATTATAGTGAATGAGATTATATAGAATAGAGTATACAGGTTGTTTATCGAATCGTTACATATATAGGAGTATTAAGAGAGGATTGCATTTGGCAACATATCCATTGCTATCCAAGGATTCGATATACAACCTGTATAAAGGTATTTGAAATGATGACACTTTCTCATACCTCACACCCTCTGGTATACGAAATGGGAATAATTGAAGTTCAGCAAAAAACGCCATTCAGAAGAGAACTACCTACATCTAATTTAAAATCTTGTGGTCAAGTTTCTAATTTCCAGTGGTATCCCAGAAATCGATGTGAATTTCATGAAGCCATCCTGTATGAACATTTGAACGGTCATCTATATTATTATCATCAAAATCAATTCGTTGTTGTCTCTCGCGTGAGCAGAATAATTTTCTATTACAATAAACCATGTCACGATTATGATATGGAATTTTATTATTAATACTATAGGTTTTTCAAATGGCAAAACATTTCACATTGAATTCCTCATGTTGAATTCGATATTGTGTGGTTGACAGGTTACATAAAATTTCAAACCATCGATTCTAGCATAGACATTATGATTCCAGTGGCTTTCATTGTTCATGGTATGAACCTGCATATTACATAATTTTCCAATAGCATGAGGAAGAGTTGTATATGAATTTTATCTCTTGGAACCGACGAAAGAGAATCCCTATAAAGTTCCAAGAACGTCGTGCGTTCCTAGGAAGGATTGATCAGAATTTGGAAAGTACTACCTAGTCTTTTTGCCGATTTCAATTTGATTCGTCTTGTACACAGAAGATCCTTTTAATAGAAATAGACACAGCTTGAAAAGCAGAGACATTTGATTATCCCCACACCATTTGATAGAGATCACTGATATAACTTCACTACTCTATTTTGAGCATAATAAGTCCACTTGCAACGAATCATGATGGATTCTTCATTTTTGTATTGAGTAACGCGATCAATAATAAAGACTCACCTTACCCTTTATCCGATTTGTGAAAAGCCATAGAAGAATTATCCCAAAATGCATGATCCTGGAATAGAAAAAAAATATATTTATATATAAAATAAAAAGATTCTCTTATACCAGATGACTACTAGAATCTGGCCACCATTATAATATTCAATCATATCGATTCACAGTCAGTATCATCAAGCGACTCCTCATTCATCATCAAAATTGATTGATTACCTTTGTTACATAAATTGGCAAGAATGTGAGGTTCCAGTGAGTCCCTTGGTTGTAAGGGAGCCTTGATTCACCTACATTTAAATTCACTAATCCAATAAAATGTGGCGAATGTTTTGTAAAATAAAGTGTCCTCTAGCAATTCCAATGATTTCCTTGATATTCGTATTGTTACCTATCGAGACCTACCTACCTATGATGAATGTGACATCCTATGTTTTTGTTTACTGGGATCACACTATATGAGGTGTGTTTTGAATCATTTATTCTCCATAGGAAAAATGTATCCATTGTAATCGATTCTCGAAATCAAAATATATGATATAATGGTTCCTTCTTCTCATTGGTGAATATAGTAGATTGAATATTTCGTTGTAAAATGTGGATACGAAACAGTCCTGACTTTGTCACTGAGCATGCCTGTTAATTTTGAGAACGAGAACAAACCTACTGTCAGATTGGGTTCCAAAGAAAAGAAAAAACATCCTTGACAACCTAACTATAATTGTTCTTTCCGAGAAACCGTCCCCCTTACGAGCAAACCTCAAAGTGTGATCCCAAACCCTTTCTTAGGCCATTAAAAAAAATTCTGCTGCAGGGAATTGAACCCACACTGGCAAGCTAACGCGGATTAGAATACTTACGCTTCTACCACGAGGCTACCTGGCCACAAGAAATCAGTACAACAATGATCACATTGGGCTGACGCCATGTTATTAGTGGACCAGAGTATAACTCCCTGATCCTTTTTTCGCAAAAAGTAATTATCAAAAATCCCAAAAAACACGAAACCCAACATATCACGTCATGGGAATCCTTCGAAAGATTTAGACACTTCTGATTTACGAGTATAGTCAAATGACAACTTCTAAACTTGTAAAATAAATGGCGACTGTACAATTCTTCAAAAAATTTTACAAATCTACACCATTTGACTGTATAATCAGAATTACCCTGAAACAACGCTGAATTAGCATATTTCCTTCCGTCGACAAACTCATATGTCGAAGAATGCTTCACCAGTGTCTATAGAACAGCAAACCTTTGGAATCCTTTCTCGAATGAAGTATTCCCAAGAACGTATTTCCTCAGAAAGTTCAAAATAAATTTCAATACATTCTCTCTCTATCCTCCCTGGATGTCCCTGGGTATGCACGATATTTTTCGAACATAATAATACTAAGTATATCCTTTGGCTTCTTCCATACCACAACTGAAGTTTTTTGATCTGTCTTATGAAATAGTCCCGGCTTTCCATAACTTTACATGAACTTGGCAACTTATATGCACATGAAATATTGTGGTTTTGCTTACTTCGTGAATTCGAAGGACCACTCGACAAGGTGAGTGTTTTCTTCTATAGTTTTTTCTTATTCTATCGAAAATAAACGAAATTTTCACATTCAGATTATACCAGGGAGCACGAAAAGGTTGGAGCAAATTCATTGAAAGCTCAATATGGCCATTGAAGAAGACACTCAAACACGTCGATTGTCTTTTTCAGATGCGCATTTGTTGGTCTACCCGTATTTTTGATGACGTCATCATTATATATAACATTATTATGAATGAAATCCCTTACATTTCTCGAAAATAGGGTTATGTAACATAGGAAAAAATAAAGAAAAAATTTGATGTCCTCACACAAAAAATGCGTTCTCTTTGATGGTATCAGAATAGGGTATTGTCATTTGAAAAAATAAATATGTAATGACGTCATTACTCGAATAGTGATGACGTCATCAAAAATATGAGTAGACCAAAGAATGCGCAACTGAAGAAGAATATCGACGTGTCTGAGCTTTTTTTCCCCATTGATGGGTATATTAAGCTTTTAACGATTTTTTTCCAACTTTCACGTGCTCACTGTTAGCCAAATGGCGAATTTCGTTATTTTGGTGGAAGAAAAAATATATCCTGTTCCGTATATTCCACTGGCTTCAGGACTTGTCGGTAATATCATCATGACTTGCGTTGAGAAATGCTCATTTCATTTCTAGTTTCCTCCTTTGATGTTAACCGGTATGCTCAGATTCATAGACATTTTAATGGCCATGTTCACTTCACACAGGAATTAAAATATGGAGTTTTGATTCAACATCACTCCGTAGACACTATCCATCCATCCATAGGAATATATGGGTACCTACTGGAAACATTTGTTGAAGAAATTATGGAAATATTGGCGATCGATCAATAGTAAACAACGTTTCTCCTAGTTACCACACTTTATAACTGATTCTGAATGTCAAACTACATAAGGTCAATTTTTCCATTAATAAAATAGCTCCTTCGAAGGTTTTTTGCATTTAAAGTTGATATGCTAGCTATGAGAGAACATGGAATGCCTATAACTTTCCAGTCGTTGAAATTATAATCTTCAAATTTTGACTGCTTGATATTACTTCAAGTCGTTCATTTGTTGATGATATCTTGTCATTTGTGTGAACAAGATATGGTTGCACAGCATGGGGACCTCGGAAACATGAGGAGATACTAATTCGGTAAAATGGGAAGGAAAAAGTTGCGCATTCAGAGGTTCATGCTAACGGCCTTAGAACATGTTATCGAGCAAAGTTAATTTTTGGAAAATCTATTTTATTTCTTTCTGCGTTATTATTAGAGATACAAGAAATCTGAAATTACTGTTTCATAGCAACTTTCGATGATATTGTACGTGGTAATATTGATTTATCTACGCGTCGTTTCGTATTCGTAGAACCATCATCAACTGTTTTTTCAAACACGGTCCTGATTATATTTTCACAGATTCTAAAACTTTCTGTTTTTCTGAATTCAATCATGTAAAACACAAGATGATTCGAAAATTCCAAAGACGAAATACCATCTGTTCCATTTATTCCTGATTATTTCGTGTTGAACATTATTGATTTAGCTTTTCGATATTGAGAAGTGAAAACAAAAGTTCACTGAATTATTCAATGCATATGCGCTTCAAATATGTTCACATGTTAATGAATTCTTACACGAATCACCTTGATAACTTAACTTCAACAACACTAACAGTAATTGATAATAAATAACATTATAACAGATGTTAAAAATTATCGCCATTATTTTCTAGTTCGTATCTTGGTCAGACTGTATTACATTTCTTCATCAAAATTGTTCATATCAAATATCGAAATGGTGCCTTGTTCATAATTTCATCAGTAAAATACCTACATTATAAATCACTATAACTGTAGGAGTGAAAAATATACAGTTCAACTACATATACAGGATGTTGTGTGAATATAATTCCATTACGATTGCTCTGTGTAAACATAAAATCTCCTACGTTGAAGTCGCATTCTTTTTTCTCATAGTACACAGTTCTGAGATGTGAAACAGATGCGGTCGAACCAATCATGAGATACAGATATCTCTTCAATTGACACCTGTCAAGGGGAATATCTACCAATAGGATGTTTTGTGCCGTTAGATTGAATCAATTGATATAGGAACTTCAGAATCGTATATTTCGAGTTAGTTTTCGTACGAAAGAGGCATTATGGCGATGTTTTCTCTTGTTATTCTTGTACGTTTCAAGGCGGATTCATATTAGAAGTTGTTACTCTGTAAGTTTACAAACATTTTCTTGCGATCACAATCTTTTGCGCATAATATCTGAAGGTTTTGTCAATTCAATTATTTCTGAAAACTTTTTATGCCCAGCTTAATCATAGACTGAGAATACAATAATGTTCATGTCAACCAAAAAATCAATGAAAGCTACTTTGGAAGCTTCTTCTCAAGGAAATAAGTAGCCAATTCAATTCACTTTCATACAGGGTGTATCCCTTAAAGGTCTGTACAAAATCTCAGTACACAATCATGAGGTCAACATGAGCCGATTTAGAACAACTCACCTCAGTCTGAAACTGCTCTGTTTTCGAGATACAGGGTGGTCAAGTTAAGAAATGAAAATCACGAGTACACTCCAAAAAAGTTTTCTGAAATGGTATATCATTCACTGAACAAGGAATGATAGTCATTTCTCATAAGAATTAAGTTTGCAGCATGAGCCATACGAGTGGGAAATTAGCATTCCGTGCGAGTTATACACTATACTTTCTCTACGACTGTAACAGATAATAGCGGAATTTTTCATTTCTTTGGCTTGTAGTCATCTAATTTACTCTTGTAATCCACTGAGTAAATTACAATCACGAAGGTAGCAGCAAACATTTTTTATTCAGAGTAATTCAAGTATTCCGGTGCACCATCGAATACTAAAAACCTATAAATATCTCGAAATCAGCCTACTCAAGCGGATCTTCACTAGAGTACCTCATTCACTCCAAAATATTCAAACAATCATTTTATTCAAGGAAAAAGTGAAAAACAACACTGATAAAAATGTTAAGGCCATTCTAAACCTCAAGAAGTGCATTGGTAAGCGCACTTTAAGGGCCACAGTGAAAAAGTGTTTATATTCGGGTTTCACTTCTCAAAAAACTCCTGAATTTCAATTCTCGGAGTGATACGTTCATGAATGTTCATAAATTCTGAAAAATTTTATTTCTTTCGGACTGACGTAGTCTGCTTAAAACCGCCTTATTTTGACCTCGGGCATATGTACTGAGATTTTGTACTGACCTTTCAGGGACACCCTGTATATTTGCTCTATCCGAAGAAATGTTTTGAAATATATAGGGTGTCCTGGTTACAACTGAAAAATACTTTTGAGCTGTGAAGTACTTAGTGCAAGTAAACAATTACTTATGAAATACGGCTTGTGTGCTTACTATACCATTGCCTGAAAAATGAATTATTGGGTGATCACATGGTCGATTTGGCTTATGTATTGAAGAAGTTCTTTAAAACATGGAATCACCATTA